TTATTAGCCCGGCGCCAAACCTCAGCCTTGCACTAGAACACAGTAAATTACCGAGAGACTTCATTTAGTCAGACCGCAAGAACTCTCTCTGTGTGCTTGTGTCCCAAATGGCACCCTGTTCCCTATATAGTGCACTACTTTTGACCGGGGCCCATTGGACTCTGATTACAAGTAATGCATTGTGTAGGGAATGGGGTGTCATGTGGGAAGTATTCTCTGATATGTTTTGTTTTGTTTTTTGACATACTGGTAACCAGAGTCGTTCAAGGGTATTCGGGACATGGGTGACTAGTTAACGTTAGCTTGGCTCTCTCTGTGTGTTTCTGTCATTGATTCTGCCGAGGCTGCCCCTCCTCCTTGCTCGGGCAGGCTTCGGCGTTCGTCGTCACCGGAATACTAGCTGCTGTCGATCTATGTTCTATGTTTCTATGTTGTACTGTTGTCTCCCATCAGGTAATTACTCCTTCCCTATTTAACCCGGTGGCTCCCATTGTGTTTTGTGCGTGTTTGTATTTCGTAGCTCAGTTGGTAGAGCATGGCACTTGCAACGCCAGAATTGTGGGTTCAATTCCCACGGGGGGGGGGGGGGGCCAGTATGAAAAATGTATGCACTCACTAACTGTAAGTCGCTAAATACAAAATGTAAATGTTTCGTGTGTCGTTTGGTGAGCGGGTTTGCTCCTCCCTGTGTGGAGGTATTTTGTATTTGTTTCTTTACTTGTCAGTAAAGTACGTTTTCATTGAGTTCTGTGTCCTGCGCCTGACTTCGACCCGCTGCATTACACTGACAGTTTCGTGCCGTGGGAGGAGGGGTTGGTTCGTTGGCAGAGAGCAATGGCTAGCTAGTATGCTAACTATTCTAGCTAACTAACTGGCTGAATAAGTTGACGACGTATTCACTCAAACTGTCAAAACTAACCCAAAACTTTACACAACGTTAGACACGGACACGAATGATCTGTTTGGCGTGTTAACATACTGGTGGTTTGCTGTAACCGAGTATTGGTACTAAACCGTGTTATTGGAGGCCGGCATCCTATGGCGTCATAGGATTCGGTGCGCTGGACGGTTTTCACAGAAGAATACTGTTCCAAGTTAGCTAGCTGAATAAACTAAGTTAGAGTCTATTCCTAGAAAACATTGAACCGCTGTAGTTTACAACAATTATAATTTCTAAAGTGGAAGTTGGGAGAGTTATATTTGAGAGTTTCAGTGAAACGTGAGGGAGGCCCCGCTCTCTCGCTTTCCCAGATGTTTAGTTCATTTCATTCCGAACTCCTTTGCATTATTGTAGCCTTTTTCTGTAGCCTGTCAACTATGTGTCTGTCTATCCCTGTTCTCTCCTCTCTGCACAGGCTACACAAACACTTCACACCGCGTGGCTGCTGCCATTCTAATCTGGTGGTCCCTGTGCGCACGACCCATATGGAGTTCCAGGTCTCTGGCGGCCTCTGGAACTGCCGTTCTGCGGCCAACAAGGCAGAGTTCATCTCAGCCTATGCTACCCTCCAGTCCCTCGACTTCTTGGCGCTGACGGAAACATGGATTACCACTGAAAACACTGCTACTGCTCTTTCCTCGTCTGACCATGTGTTCTCGCATACCCCGAGAGCATCTGGTCAGCGCGGCGGTGGCACAGGAATCCTCATCTCTCCCAAGTGGACATTCTCTCTTTTTCCCCTGACCCATCTGTCTGTCTCCTCATTTGAATTCCATGCTGTCACAGTCACTAGCCCATTCAAGCTTAACATCCTTGTCATTTATCGCACTTCAGGTTCCCTTGGAGAGTTCATCAATGAGCTTGACGCCTTGATAAGTTCCTTTCCTGAGGATGGCTCACCCCTCACAGTTCTGGGTGACTTTAACCTCCCTACGTCTGCCTTTGACTCATTTCTCTCTGCCTCCTTCTTTCCACTCCTTTCCTCTTTTGACCTCACCCTCTCACCGTCCCCCCCTACTCACAAGGCAGGCAATACGCTTGACCTCATCTTTACTAGATGCTGTTCTTCTACTAATCTCACTGCAACTCCCCTCCAAGTCTCCAACCCCTACTTTGTATCCTTTTCTCTCTCGCTCTCCTCCAACACTACTCACCTACTCAGATGGTAATGTGCCGTCGCAACCTTCGCTCTCTCTCTCCCGCTACTCTCTCCTCTTCCATCATATCATCTCTTCCCTCTGCTCAATCCTTCTCCCTCCAATCTCCTGATTCTGCCTCCTCAACCCTCCTCTCCTCCCTTTCTGCATCTTTTGACTCTCTATATCCCCTATCCTCCCGGCCGGCTCGGTCCTCCCCTCCAGCTCCGTGGCTTGACGACTCATTGCGAGCTCACAGAAGAGGGCTCTGGGCAGCCAAGGGGAAATGGAGGAAAACTAGACTCCCTGCGGACCTGGCATCTTTTCACTCCCTCCTCTCTACATTCTCTTCCTCTGTTTCCACTGCTAAAGCCACTTTCTACCACTAAATTTCAAGCCTCTGCCTCTAACCCTAGGAAGCTCTTTACCACCTTCTCCTCCCTGCTGAATCCTCCTCCCCCTCCCTCCTCCCTCTCTGTGGATGACTTCGTCAACCATTTTTTAAAGAAGGTTGACGACATCCGATCCTCATTTATTAAGTCAAATGACACCGCTGGTCCTGCTCACACTGCCCTACCCTATGCTTTGACTTCTTTCTCCCCTCTCTCTCCAGATGAAATCTTGCGACTTGTGACGGCCGCCCAACAACCTGCCCGCTTGACCCTATCCCTTCCTCTCTTCTCCAGACCATTTCCGGAGACCTTCTCCCTTACCTCACCTCACTCATCAACTCATCCTTGACCGCTGGCCATGTCCCTTCCGTCTTCAAGAGAGCGAGAGTTGCACCCCTCCTCAAAAAACCTACACTCGATCTCTCCAATGTCAACAACTACAGACCAGTATCCCTTCTTTCTTTTCTCTCCAAAACTCTTGAGCGTGCCGTCTCTAGCCAACTCTCCTGCTATCTCTCTCAGAATGACCTACTTGATCCAAACCAGTCAGGTTTCAAGAGTGGTCATTCAACTGAGACTGCTCTTCTCTGTGTCACGGAGGCTCTCCGCACTGCTAACGCTAACTCTTTCTCCTCTGCATCCTTCTAGACCTATCCGCTGCCTTTGATACTGTGAACCATCAGATCCTCCTCTCCACCCTCTCCGAGTTGGGCATCTCCGGTGCTGCTCACTCTTGGATTGCGTCCTACCTGACAGGTCGCTCCTACCAGGTGGCGTGGCGAGAATCTGTCTCCGCACCACATGCTCTCACCACTGGTGTCCCCCAGGGCTCAGTTCTAGGCCCTCTCCTATTCTCTCTATACACCAAGTCACTTGGCTCTGTCATATCCTCACATGGTCTCTCCTATCATTGCTACGCAGACGACACACAATTAATTTTCTCCTTTCCCCCCTTCTGATAACCAGGTGGCAAATCGCATATTTGCATGTCTGGCACACAAATCAGTGTGGATGTCGGATCACCACCTCAAGCTGAACCTCGGCAAGACGGAGCTGCTCTTCCTCCCGGGGAAGGACTGCCCGCGCCATGATCTCGCCATCACGGTTGACAACTCCGTTGTGTCCTCCTCCCAGAGTGCAAAGAACCTTGGCGTGACCCTGGACAACACCCTGTCGTTCTCCGCTAACATCAAAGTGATGACCCGATCCTGTAGGTTCATGCTCTACAACATTCGGAGAGTACGACCCTACCATACACAGGAAGCGGCACAGGTCCTAATCCAGGCACTTGTCATCTCCCGTCTGGATTACTGCAACTCACTGTTGGCTGGGCTCCCTGCCTGTGCCATTAAACCCCTACAACTTATCCAGAACGCTGCAGCCCGTCTGGTGTTCAACCTTCCCAAGTTCTAACGTCACCCCGCTCCTCCGCACACTTCACTGGCTTCCAGTTGAGGCTCGCATCTACTACAAGACCATGGTGCTTGCCTACGGAGCTGTGAGGGGAACGGCACCTCCTTACCTTCAGGCTCTGATCAGACCCTACACCCAAACGAGGGCACTACGTTCATCCACCTCTGGCCTGCTAGCCCCTCTACCTCTACGGAAGCACAGTTCCCGCTCAGCCCAGTCAAAGCTATTCGCTGCTCTGGCACCCCCAATGGTGGAACAAGCTCCCCCACGACGCCAGGACAGCGGAGTCACTGACCACCTTCCGGAGGCACTTGAAACCCTACCTCTTTAAGGAATACCTGGAATAGTATAAAGTAATCCTTCTTCCCCCACCCCCATAAAATTTAACTTATGGCTGTCATAAGTTGAATGCACCAATTTGTAAGTCGCTCTGGATAAGAGCGTCTGCTAAATTATGTAAATGTACTATGGGAACCAGAGTTAATATGGGTTACTATGGGAACCAGAGTTAATATGGGTTGGCCATGGGAACCAGAGTTAATATGAGTTGCCATGGGAACCAGAGTTAATATGGGTTGCCATGGGAACCAGAGTTAATACAGCTGATTGCATCAGCCAAATGTCTGTAATAGTGTGGAAATATCACTGAAAGAAGTGGCTTGTAGTGCCCATAGTGCTCTGGTAAAGGCCCATAGTGCTCTGGTAAAAAGTAGTGCACTATAAAGGGAATAGGGTGCCATATGTGAAACTGAACTCAAGGTGGGAAGATCGTCAACTCTGTTCTAAAGCGTTTCCTCTAGGTACAGGTCCAGGATCAGTTTCCTCTCCCCCAATCCTAACCTCAACCGTTAGTGGGGGAAACGCTAAACTGACCCCAGAACAGCGTCTACAGGCAACTTCACCCTACACCATTGGTGGCGATCATCGTAATAACATATTGTAGAGAATTCGAAGGGTAGCCCTGGCCGAGTCTCAAACCTGGGCCCAGCGACTGTCAACCCAACACCTTACCCATAACACCAAGAGATCCTAACCCCTTGACAAGGTGTTGGGTTAAGGTCGCTACAATATTTATAAGACATTGACATTTTGCATTAATTTCTCCCAAGCCACCATTACCAGTTACAACATGTGATAATAATTAACACACGAAAAAAAAACGTATCTAAATCAATAGAGAGGTTTTTTCATTTAATTGAGTTCAGTTCATCCTTCTACATTACAGACATACCTATACAAGCCCTTACCCCTCTCTAACAACACATCGAAAATGACATCTTCCATTTTACCGGACTAGAATCATGATAAAAACCAAAACATGATCCATTTGATCCCTCAGCGACAGTCAACATTCCTCTTTACCCGCCCAAACAGTTTGACAGAGATAAAAAATGAGTAACATGGCACACGGATCAATCATGTAGTGCATGTATCTGAAACCGTGGCAACGGCTTGTACATTTTACCATGGACACCACAAACCTTTCTCAAGTGAAGGAAAGAAAACGAGGATTCTGAACCTGGCAATAGGCGGGACAGACCGGGAGCTGTCAATCAATCATCTAAAGATTTCTCAGCCAAAGGCAATGTTCGAAAGAAAACATAGCCCTCCCATTGAAATCCGAAAATCCATGGACGCATCTCAATAGCCTAAAATAGCTTCCTCTCCTCTCCTCGGTCTGCACATTAAAGAACTGGACAGGTGAAAACAAACTCCCAGTAGAAATCCTCTCACCTGTCCTGCTATTTCAGATCAGTGCATATGATGGAGAGGACACAAGGAGAGGAAGCCGCTTTAGACTATTGAGCCACAGCCCACATCTGAGTTTACGGTAATCCCACCCAACGAGGAAGTTCATCAGCCCCATCTGTCCAATCAGAAGACTGTCTCAGTGTGTGAGGGCTGATGTGATTGGCTCTAGTCGGTCTTGCGAGGGCTTTCCAGTCTCCAGGCACCAGTGATGTAACGCAGGCGGATGAACACCAGGTCTCTACCCATCTGTAACCAGCTCCACACTGGCACCAGCTTAGACCCTATAACACATTATAACACATTATAACACATTATTATAACACATTATTATAACACATTATAAATAGCTCCACACTGGCACCAGCTTAGACCCTATAACAACACATAACACATTAAGGGCTGTATCCAGGCTGTACTCTGCTTTGCGTCATGCTTAAGAAGAACAGCCCTTAGCCGTGGTATATTGGCCATATACCACACCCCCTCTGGCATTATTGCTTCATTATACCACACCCCCTCTGGCATTATTGCTTCATTATAAACTGGGTGGTTCGAACCCTGAATGCTGATTGGCTGACAGCTGTGGTATATCAGACCGTATACCACGAGTACAGTAAAAATAAAACTTGTGTCGTTCTAATTACGTTGGTAACCAGTTTATAATAGCAATAAGGCACCTCTGGGGTTTGTGGTATATTGCCAATATACCACAGCTAAGGGCTGTATCCAGGCACTCTGCGTTGCGCATAAGAACAGCCCTTAGCCGTGGTATATTGGCCACATACCACACCCCCTCGTGACTCATTGCTTCATTATACCACATTATAACCAGCTGCACAGCTTATAACAAGTTAGGGCAGTAGGTAACGTAGCGGTTAAGAGCGTTGGGCCAGTAACCCGAAAGTTACTGAAAATCTGTTGAGCAAAGCACTTAACTCTAATTGCTCCTGTAAGTCGCTCTAAAACGTAAAAATAACACCTTATGATGTACTATAACAGCAGGTTTCTACCCATCTTTAGCTAGCTCTAAACTGGCGTGCAGCTGTTTAACCAGTTACAATAAGATTACTTAGTAGAAAGAACTACCACATTACAATTCATCATTAAGCCCACGACTGGAAACAACTTCGAGCCTGAGACACTAAAACACACCTTTCTTTTAAAGGAGGAGGCCAGGAGCACCAATCTCCTTACGTATTTGATCATTTTAATGACAGGACAGTTAAAACAAATCAGGAGACTGGTTAGCAGTGAGGGAAAAAGAGAGCCAGACTCCAGCACTTTAAAATGCATATCTAATGTATAAAAGAAGACTAGCACACTGCTCTAAGGAAGTCAGGCTTTGATATGCTAAGACTTGAAGCTACGCAAGACTATTATGACACCTTAAAACTCCCCTTTTATCTCAGTCCACGTGTGTGTGTATATTACGGTTGAATAGCAGGAACCAGGTTACCGAGATTTACCGCCCAAACCCACTCCCTTTCCCCAGGATAAATAACTGCGAGAAACCAGTCAATTATAATAAATGATTTATATGAACAGCATGGCGTGAAATGGAAAATGTTAAATTATATGTGATGTCTAAATCTGGCTTCTCTACGGCGCCACGGCCTAATCTCTGCTATCTGCACGATCAATCATCAACACTCATGGTGAGGATAGACAGCGCATTTCAGTATGTCGTCATGTTCACTTTTATTTTGTGAACGATGGGTTATGCATAGGCTATAAGCTTCGAACTTATAGCCTCGGTCTCCTGCACAATACGCACCTGCCCTCCGATGGCCTTTCTCCTTAAAAAAAAAAACACTCCTAAGCTAGACAAGAATAGCTTGCTGGACATTTCTTATACTAACAGACTATTTGAAGAGGCATAAAAGCTCTTGTTTGCTGAATGTTAAATACAGCAGCCAATAGAACTCACCGGTAGTTTGAAAGTAGAGAGAACGCGCGATGGAGGAAGGCTATAGCAGTTATTTATTCAGACCCAGAACCATTCAATCTTCGTGAAGAGAAGTGAAAGACTTCTGCATCTTATTCGAGTCCTATATTATTCAAGAACGTCATTAGAATGATGAAGATCAGGACAATTAAACTTATTTCATTTAACTGTTGAAAGCAAGGGAGGAATGAAGCAACAGAGAGAGAGAGAGAGAGGAGGTAGGATAATAACATTAGGGGAAATATTATGAAAGGTATATATGCATCAGCCTACTAATTATACAAATAGGCCCTATTATATTTCAAAATTAAAATCAAATTCGCTAGCCTATACTTGTAACTTTGTAGACCACACGTCCTGCACCAGAATCACGTTCTCTCCCAGCTTCATGGTTTGAATGAGGTGTGTAATTCCAGTCCATTTAATACAGTATAATACAATACAGTACAGTAATACAGTTCACACTTAAAAATATTAGACTACTGGAGCTAGTATCATTTATTTACCCAAGAGGCTATGTAGGTGGATTGGATAACAGCACAATCATTTGGGCTTTTATGGCCTTGGGATCATTAAATGTCTTTAATGTAGGGATCGTCAGGCTCAGGAAGCATCAGGTTTGAATTTTCATGCTGATCAAAGCTCTTATAAAATCCAGACATATTTATCTGTTTTATGCTTTAGAATGACACTTTCGGTTTTGGTGGGAAATACCGGGTTACCTGGGAGAAAAGTTAGTTATTCTCGGGATGGAACATTTGTAAAATACCGGGAAAATATTAAACACTAATGTGTCTGCATAAGTATGAGAGACTCACCTTCTATCTCAGTCCAGTTGACAGACTCACCTTCTATCTCAGTCCAGTTGACAGACTCACCTTCTATCTCAGTCCAGTTGACAGACTCACCTTCTATCTCAGTCCAGTTGACAGACTCACCTTCTATCTCAGTCCAGTTGACAGACTCACCTTCCATCTCAGTCCCAGTTGACAGACTCACCTTCCATCTCAGTCCAGTTGACAGACTCACCTTCTATCTCAGTCCAGTGACAGACTCACCTTCTATCTCAGTACAGTTGACAGACTCACCTTCTATCTCAGTCCAGTTGACAGACTCACCTTCTATCTCAGTCCAGTTGGACAGACTCACCTTCTATCTCAGTCCAGTTGACAGACTCACCTTCTATCTCAGTCCAGTTGACAGACTCACCTCTATCTCAGTCCAGTTGACAGACTCACCTTCTATCTCAGTCCAGTTGACGACTCACCTTCTATCTCAGTCCAGTTGACAGACTCACCTTCCATCTCAGTCCAGTTGACAGACTCACCTTCCATCTCAGTCCAGTTGACAGACTCACCTTCTATCTCAGTCCAGTTGACAGACTCACCTTCTATCTCAGTCCAGTTGACAGACTCACCTTCCATCTCAGTCCAGTTGACAGACTCACCTTCTATCTCAGTCCAGTTGACAGACTCACCTTCTATCTCAGTCCAGTTGACAGACTCACCTTCCATCTCAGTCCAGTTGACAGACTCACCTTCCATCTCAGTCCAGTTGACAGACTCACCTTCTATCTCAGTCCAGTTGACAGACTCACCTTCTATCTCAGTCCAGTTGACAGCCACTTCGGCTACGGGGATCTTAAAGCACTGAGCGATGTACAGTAGTTCCACGTCAAAGGCCCTGTGGAACAGTACAACATTCTAGTTACAATGTTCTTACAACAACAACAACAACAACGGCCCAGTGGAACAGAATCACACCATATTCAATACAAGTCCTAGACTAGTAAGCTTTTGTTTTCCGTCATGATCAAGTTCTGTTCAGAGAGACCATACCATTGATCCATTCCAATTCAAGTTGTAGTTATTGAGCGTTAGTGTTCCTGTCCACGGAGAGACCGTACCATTGCGCCAGAGGGAAGGTCTTGCACTTTCCTATACGTTTTCTTGTTCAAATGGAGCCATCTAATTACTATGTAATAACCATCATTCACACCATGCAAATATAAGGAGAGGTAAAGTTTACTCCTTCAGATAATCCTTTTTTGAAGGAAGTAGAATAGAACTACAACTACCCCGTTATTATAGAATTTCTTATAGCAAGTAAACTTTGGTATAAGAGACAGACCTTACTATCGCTCCACGAGCAGGGAGGATAATTATTTGAACTAAGTATGAGGTAGTCATAAATACATTTTGGTATTGGGTGAGCGGTTAAGTTGGCGTTACCATCGCTCCACGTGTAGGGAGGAGAAGGTCTTGAGCGCGGCCTCACGGGTGAAGAGCTTGAAGCCACACTGCGTGTCCTTGATGCCTCGCACACAGAAGAACCAAACCAGGAAGTGGAACCCATACATCAGGAACGTACGGAACAGAGACCGCTACCATGGAAACACAAACAACATGTCATTTTAAAGGCTGTCTAGAATCCATCTACAAGACCAAGACCATATTTATTTTCATCTATTAATTTCATCACAGGGTTACGTAGGTGAGAGACAGAGAGAGAGAGAAGAGAGAGAAAGTACCGAAGCGACTGCCTCATCCTCCAGGTGTGCTCTGGACCCACAGGATATGGCCATGTTATCCTGTAACACACAAGCATTTCGTTATTTAACTGGGATCAATCTAGAAAGTCCCATTGAAGTCAAATAACATTTTATTGGTCACATACACGTATTTAGCAGATGTTATTGCGGGTGAAATGCTTGTGTTCCTAGCTCCAATAGTACAGTAATATCTAACAATACACAACAATACACAACAATACACAACAATACACAACAATACACAACAATACACACAAATCTAACAGTAAAATAATTGAGTTATAGAAATATTAGGATGAGCAATGTCGGAGTGGCATTGACTAAAATACAGTAGAATAGAATACAGTATATACATATGAAATGAGTAAAGCAGTATGTAAACATTATTAAAGTGACTAGTGTTCCATTATTAAAGTGGCCAGTGATTCCATGTCTATGTATACAGGGCAGCAGCCTCTAAGGTGCAGGGTTGAGTAACCGGGTGGTAGCCGGCTAATGATGGCTATTTAACAGTCTGATGGCCTTGAGATAGAAGCTGTTTTTCAGTCTCTCGGTCCCAGCTTTGATGCACCTGTACTGACCTCGCCTTCTGGATGATAACGGGGTGAACAGGCCGTGGCTCGGGTGGTTGATGTCCTTGATAATCTTTTTGGCCTTCCTGTGACATCGGGTGCTGTAGGTGTCCTGGAGGGCAGGCAGTGTGCCCCCGGTGATGCGTTGGCAGACCACACCACCCTCTGGAGAGCCCTGTGGTTGCAGGCGGTGCAGTTGCCGTACTAGGCGGTGCGACAGAATGCTCTCAATTGTGCATCTGTAAAAGTTTGTGAGGGTCTTATGGGCCAAGTCAAATTCCTTCAGCCTCCTGAGGTTGAAGAGGTGTTGTTGCACCTTCTTCACCACACTGTCTGTGTGGGTGGACCATTTCAGATTGTCAGTGATGTGTACGCCGAGGAACATGAAGCTTTTCACCTTCTCCACTGCGGCCTTGTCGATGTGGATGGGGGTGTGCTCCCTCTGCTGTCTCCTGAAGTCCACGATCATCTCCTTCATTTTGTTGACGTGGAAGGAGAGGTTATTTTCCTGGCACCACTCCGCCAGGGCCCTCATCTCTTTCCTTTAGGAATTCTCGTCATTGTTGGTAATCAAGCCTACTACTGTTGTGTTGTCTGCAAACTTGATGATTGAGTTGGAGGCGTGCATGGCCACGCAGTCATGGGTGAATAGGGAGTACAGGAGGGGGCTGAGCACGCACCCTTGTGGGGCCCCAGTGATGAGGATCAGCGAAGTGGAGATGTTGTTTCCTACCTTCACCACCTGGGGGCGGCCCGTCAGGAAGTCCAGGACCCAGTTGCACAGGGTGGGGTTCAGACCCAGGGCCTCGAGCTTAATGATACGCTTGGAGGGTACTATGGTGTTGAATGCTGAGCAATAGTCAATGAACAGCATTCTTACATAGGTATTCCTCTTGTCCAGATGGGATAGGTGCAGTGTGCATTGTGATGGCGACTGCATTATCCATGGATCTATTGGGGCGGTATGCAAATTGAAGTGGGTCTAGGGTGTCAGGTAAGGTAGAGGTGATATGATTCTTAACTAGCCTTTCAAAGCACTTCATAATGACAGACGTGAGTGCTACAGTGCGATAGTCATTTAGTTCAGTTACCTTTGCTTTCTTGGGTACAGGAACAATGGTGGACATCTTGAAGCAAGTGGGGACAGCAGACTGGGATAGGGAGAGATTGAATATGTCCGTAAACACTCCAGCCAGCTGGTCTGCGCATGCTCTGGGGACGCGGCTAGGGATGCCGTCTGGGCCGGCAGCCTTGCGAGGGTTAACACAGTCCTTGGGAGTGGACCGCGTCGGTGGCGCGGTTTTATCCTCAAAGCGTGCAAAGAAGGTGTTTAGCTTGTCCGGGAGCAAGACGTGGCTGGTTTTCCCTTTGTAATCCGCGATTGAAGTCAATACACCAGAGCAAGCTAGATCTACTCAGGCTTTTATAAAGCTAGCCAGCCTCAGTTAGCTTCACATTCCAGGTCAGGCTTCACCCGTACTACGACGGTGGATATTTCTCGTCCATCTGCCGCTAACTCTAGCAGGCTTGTAACTGCGTGGCTTGTCGCACATGGCTAGTTGAACGCTGAACTCTTCATTGAGACAATGTTGAAACATCAATCCACGGGCAAGTCAGTGCCACCTTTTCATTTATGCCAAATTGAAAATGAAAAAAAAAAGTGATCTTGCAAGTTCAGCAGGCTATTACTTATCGTTAATGCCATCTTTGGTGTGCATATCACCTTTCTCCCCATCGCTCCTTCTTCTATCTGTGGAACATAGACATATAATCCATAGAAGGGTTTTGGAACCTCTATCCCTGGCAATTTGACTGTTAAACTCATGGGTACGCTTGCAATGGCTGACAGTCCTGACTTGAATGGGAACTGCCATCTAAGGATTATATGTCTATGGTTGGTTCCGGCTGTCAGTTTACCTGTCGCAAATTTCTAAATACAATTGCGCTAAAAACGTAGTTTGGAAAGCAAATGCTGTCCTTACTAAATGTGTAATGTGATAGGTATTTTAACATCACCATTTCTTTACACACACAAAAAAAACATTTGATTAATAAAATATTGAAATCAGTGGTCTTGAAGGGGATGATGACAGATTCTTTGTGAGAGGGAGGGAATCTGATTTCATTGGTCCTCAACTTGTGGCTCAGACACTTAATTCGGGATAAATGGATTTAGCCTCGAGTTAGCCTGCCCCCCGGAGCAGGTTAGTTCTGAAGGATTCGTTGCCATAGAAATGTACCTGCCTAAAAAGGTGAGCCACTTTCACGGTACCGGTTATCCTGAGTTGAACTCAAGAGTTGACCAAAGCTACCTGGCGAACTCCTCAAACCTGATTGGTAGTATAGGGCTCTGGTCAAGAGGGCAGCTCCAGTCAAAACGGAAACATACGGTCATATTAGCCTAGTCAGGAAAATGACCACACGTTTACATTTCAGACAACAAAAGCTAGAATCATAAACACCCACTGGTTTGGTGTTTACGTCATGAAGGCCGGCCTCCACCTTCTCCACGTCTGCAAACTTAGTGGCTCCGTCCGCGTCCACCATCAGAATCCGCTTCCCTCTGGAACTCAGAGTACCCTGACACACACACACACACACACACACACACACACACACACACACACACACACACACACACACACAATAATTCTAAGTTGAATGTGACAGTTGTAGTGAATGAAGTTCTCCCCATCATGAAAAAACAGTATGCTGTTGTCAAAGGCAGCGTTATGTACAGTGTGGCAATACTGAGTTACTACTTTCAAGCCAATAATGTTATTTTAAAATAATGGCAGTTGTAGTGAGCAGAGATATAGAATGAAATACAGTACCAGTCAAAAGTTTGGACAAACCTACTCATTCAAGGGTTTTTCTTTATTTTTACTATTTTCTACATTTTTGAATAATAGTGAAGACATCAAAACTATGACATAACACATATGAATTCATGTAGTAACCAAAAAAGTGATAAACTAATCAAAATATATGTTCTATTTTAGATTCTTCAAAGTAGCCACCCTTTGCCTTGATGACAACTTTGCACACTCTTGGCATTCTCTCAACCAGCTTCACCTGAAATGCTTTTCCAACAGTCTTGAAGGAGTTCCCACATATGCTGAGCACTTGTTGGCTGCTTTTCCTTCACTCTGCAGTCCAACTCATCCCAAACCATTTCAATTGGGTTGAGGTCGGGTGAATGTGGAGGCCAGGTCATCTGATGCAGCACTCCATCACTCTCCTTCTTGGTCAAATAGCCCTTACACAGCCTGGAGGTGTGTTGGGTCATTGTCCTGTTGAAAAACAAATGATAGTCCCACTAAGCCCAAACCAGATGGGATGGCATATCGCTGCAGAATGCTGTGGTAGCCATGCTGGTTAAGTGTGCCTTGAATTCTAAATAAATCAACGACAGTGTCACCAGCAAAGCACCCCCACACCATCACACCTCCTCCTACATGCTTCACGGTGGGAACCACACATGCAGAGATCATCCGTTCACCTACTCTGCGTCTCACCAAGACACATCGGTTGGAACCAAAAATCTCAAATTTGGACTCATCAGACCAAAGGACAGATTCCCATCGGTCTAATGTCCATTGCTCGTGTTTCTTGGCCCAAACAAGGCTCTTCTTATTATTGGTGTCCTTTAGTAGTGTTTGTTTGCAGCAATTCGACCATGAAGGCCTGATTCACACAGTCTCCTCTGATCAGTTGATGTTGAGATGTGTCTGTTACTTGAACTCTGTGAAGCATTCATTTGGGCCGCAATCGGAGGTGCAGTTAACTCTAATGAACTTATCCTCTGCAGCAGAGGTAACTCTGGGTCTTCCTTTCCTGTGGCGGTCCTCATGAGAGCCAGTTTCATCATAGCGCTTGATGGTTTTTGCGACTGCACTTGAAGAAACGCTCAAAGTTCTTGAAATTTTCCAGATTGCCTGACCTTCATGTCTTAAAGTAATGATGGACTGTCGTTTCTCTTTGCTTATTTGAGCTGTTCTTGCCATAATATGGACTTTTACCAAATAGGGCTATCTTCTGTATACCCCCCCTACCTTGTCACAACACAA